GTGTGCACATGATACATGTTTAATGGTGTGAGAAAATACAGGGCTAAGAGGTGAAAGTAAGGTAAAAATTGTATTTACTGCATGGTCATGCATAAATTAAAATAAGCATAGCAAAAGAAAAGAAGAAAATAGTCTAAACCACTAAGGGTGAACTCTGGGGGCGTAAATTACTTTTAGGGGCCATTTTCCAACTTTTTTGAATTTCATAAATTTAAATATAATATTTATGTCAGGGCAGATTTAAATATTTAAGGTTTTTATTGTGGTAAAGTATTTTAACATAAAATTTACCATTTTAACAATTTTGAAGTATACAATTCAGTGGCAATAAGTACACTTTCATGCAACCACCACCACCATCCATCTCTAGAACTTTTTCATCTTTCCCATTATCTCCTCTTCCCAGTTTCTGGAAATAACTATTCTACTTTTGTCCCTGAGTTTGACTATTTCAGGTATCTAATATAAATAGAATCATACACTGTTTGTCTTTTTGTATCTGGCTTATTTCACTTAGCACAATACCTTCAAAGTTCATTCAGGTTGAGTATGTATCAGAATTTCATTGCTTTTTAAGGCCGCATAATAGTCCACTGTATGCTACCTATTACCACAGTCTGTTTATCCCTTCATCCACTGATGGATGTCTGGGGTACTTCCACCTTTTATAATGCTGCATAAACTTTGGTACACAAATCCTTGTTCAAGTGCCTGCTTTCAATTTTTGAGGGTATATACCTAGAAATAGAAGTGTTGAATCGTGTGGCAATTCTATGTTTAATTTTTTGAGGAACAGCCATAATGTTTTCCACAGAGGATGCACCATTTTGAGGCAATTCAGAAGGGTCTAATTTGTCCACACACTTAGAATTGTTTACCTATCAAGGTCAATCACTCCATATGAAAATCTTTCTAAAATGTATCACTCACCTTCCAGCCTACTGCAAAGGAAGTATTAAACAAAATGTAACCTTCATTTCTTTTAATAATTTATAAAAATTGATGCCCCCTCAGGAGCTACTGAAAGATATTTTTACTTGAGATCTTGCTATGTGCTAGATACTATTCTAAGTTGTTTTCAGAGAACGAATCAATCCCTTCAAAATCCTGGGAAACATCATTGCCATTTCACAGATAATAAATGAGATACACGGAAATAAAGGAACTTTTCTAAGACCATGCAGCTAGGGAGTGAAGGTGGCAGGATTCGAAGTGCACGCCTTTACAGGTTTTGTTAGACTCCTAACTAACTAAGTAAGTTTGTCTCTGTGTTAAATATCTCCAGACTAATGCTGTACATTTTTAGAAAATGTGTGTGCTGTTCAATGTTTTATTTTGTTTTCCTTCTGGTATGACTCCTTGCAGTGATAAAAGCACCTACCTTTTGCTACTTTCTTCTCTCCAACTCAGATGTTGATACTGATACCCTGTCACCAAGAAAAAGAGATACACAAAAGAGTTAAAATTATGTGTAAAATAAAAGTACATAGGTTTGAGGGAGAATTTGAGGGGTCTATGCAAGAGTAAAAATATATGAATTTACATATTTGAAGTTCATTGTATCTATTTTGGTAGTTTAATAGCCTATTTTGCTTTTTCCTGGTTGTGTGTGTGTGTGTGTGTGTGCATGTGTGTGTGTGTGTGTGACCCAGATGCTTAGTCTGCTTTTGAGAATGAATGTGAGTGCTTATTCTTACTCCTACTTATATTGTGTAATATAATATAATTTAGTTTTTTAAAAAGCTTGCCTCCAAATAATAGATATCCCTTCCACGTCTGATACTCTCTTTTTAAAAAATACCTATTCAATATTTTCATAATACATGCAAAGGAAGAACCAAGAAAAAAGACTTTGATACTGAAAACCTCTGGTTCTACATTAAGATTATTTAAACTATAACCCAATGACTGTTGATTACAGATGCCCATTGATACCAACCTGGAATGTACTTGCAGAATTTATTGTGTATCAGGGATATATTTCCAGGAAAGAACATACAAGTGTTTCTTTCCCTGTGTAACATATGTTGTGAAGTGCTGAGCATTTAACTTTCTGAAAGTCAAACCTTCTTTCCAATGAAGTAGGAGAGATCACCAGTTAAATAGATTTAACAATGTGTCCCTCTATGTGTCAAAACCTTTCATTTAAAGTGGATTTTCAGTACATCACCCCATTCCACACCACCATTTATTTTCCTGGAAATTGTTTTTCTATATCAATATTTCTTTAAGGATTCTCTCCCACATCTTTAATATTTTCCTAGAAACAGGTGAATAATAGCTATAAAGTTGAGAGGCAAATGTTCATTCAAAATACAAAATGGAAAGATAAATAAAAGTTTCTTTAGAGAAGCTCTAGCAATCCAGATGTCCTCAGACGTTGTAATGAGTGAGGAGCAATAAGTGTAATTTTGTACTATTACATTTAATTTCCATCTAAATAGTCCAAGCAATTTTATTCAGCAAAATCAGAGTGAGGGAGAGTTTAGGGGGAAGATAAAGGAAACAAAAACACATTCCCCAAAATCTGAACTAGCTGATGGAAATAACACACTCCCAATTTTGTGACTGGTTAGGAGTTACAGGTGAAAGAAAATAAAGTGATAGTGTTACCTTATTTCTTTGAAGACTGTGCCCTGAATCCAAATGTTTGACAATATAGTATGTCCACTGGACTCCAAGGCACAATCATTTTAACATTGACTACTTACTAAAACAGTAATGCTGTTAATATCAATAAATGCACAAAAATTCTGATAATAATTAAATTAATATTTTTAGAAATTTTTTATATCTCAAGCCTACCATGCTGGCCTTTACAAATGTACTATAACTCTATTTGTTTTTGTCACACAAAGAAGGGGCTATTCTTTCTCTAGTAATCAACACCCAACTTCTACTAAACAAAAAAACCTGTGTAAGTTAATATCCCTGCGAGTTGACCTCTACTGTCCACATTTTGCTTTTCTAAATTCCTATTACTTGCCTCTGCCATTCATAGTAATATTGCTTTATATCGTCTTAAATTCTTCTGTAATTTTTCATATGTACATTATGTTTTATTGTTCTTAAGTATCATCCATATTAACTAATATGGACTGATTGTATAAGTGAGATTTAAATAAGTTTTTTAATCAATTAATAATAAATTTGTCCAAAGAAGAAATTATTGGGAGTGGAGCATTCTTCAAGACTACTATAATTGGGATAGCCAGAGCAATAAATTAAGTGGATTGTGGACAAGGTCCAGGAGCCTGGTTCTTAAAACACTAAATACCCTCCCAAATAAAAAAAAATACTATTTAGAATGATCTAAACTTATTGAAGCTGACATATAATCAACATCCAAAAATCAGAAACTCTTTTTTTAAATAACTATATGTTTTTAAAATATTTTTATTTATTTTTAGAAAGAGAAGGGAGAGAGAAAGAGAGAGAAAGAGAGAAACATCAATGTGTGGTTGCCGGGGGCCATGGCCTGCAACCCAGGCATGTGCCCTGACTGGGAATCGAACCTGCAACACTTTGGTTCGCAGCTCACGCTCAACCCACTGAGCTACACCAGCCAGGGCTTAAAAAACCAGAAACTCTTAACTAAAGGACAGTTCATTCTATTTCATGATAGCCACAAAATAGTACAAAAACATTTAAGGAAACCTCTGAACCTGGAATAAATGATGTTTGGGGAAACAAAAATTAGGTTTAACAAGCACAGAATGAAATTGAGAGTAGAGTTGAAAATGTAACAGCTACTATGTTATAATAGAAATTTAGTAAATGTATTCTATCAACAGTTTGGACTAGACTTCAAGGTTCCCAGCTGTCAAAGAATTGAAACAAACAAACAAAAAAGAATGGGAGGGAGAGAGGAAGGAAAGAAGGAAGGGAGAGAAGGAAGAAAGCGTGTAGAAAAAAGATTTTTTAAAACTTGTAGAGTTCAGGAAACAGTCTGACAAGTTTATAACATTTCATGGAAACTGTTGGCAAAACTATAATGGGCTAAAGCTTCAATCAGGCCCCTAATACATCTGGAGTTTTGTTTTAAATGACTAAGGTGAAAAATATCAGATTATGGAAAATGGGGAAGGCTTCCAGCAGTTGGCCAGTGTTCTAGGTGATGGATGCGATGGGCAATTCCCTTAAATAACTAATTTACTGCCAACAGAGAAAAACATTAGATAGAAGAACATCAAAAAACTCATCTGCAATTAGGATCACAAGAGTGGCTGGCCACTCCGAGTCCACCTTCCCCTCCCACACCAGCGAGGTGACCCTGCTCCTGGCAAACACCTCCACACAAAGGCCACTGAAGAACATCTTCCCCTACTCTCTTTTCCTTTGGCTTAAAACTCACTATAAAACCTGCTTTACTGTTTTCCAGTGGCTTCCATTCTCAGTCCCTTCTTTCTTTGTTCCCACCCTTTGTTCCCTCTTTTCCTCCTTCCCTCCCTCCCTACTTTTCTGTCTTCCTAAAATCATTGCTTTTTAAAAAATACACCCAGATCAACCCTACTCTACTAGAAATCCCTCTCAGGCCAGACGGAGTCAGGCACAGGCGGACAGCCAGTGCATTCGCAAGCACCATCTGGCACCTGCGATTCATTGATTCATCCTCACATTTTGTACTCGCAGAGGTGAGAGGGGCGGGAGACAAAGAGCATGCAGAGCTGGTGTGACCCAGTTCCTTTGGAAACTTTCAGATGGTCGTGACCTCCACCAACACTAAACTCTTTAATGATCCTTCAAGCCAGAAAAGTATGGTGACCTCTGCCTAGCCCTTGGGATTGAAAAAGAGGAAACGCAAGAAAAGCAAAACTGGGAGGTTCGCTCGTTTGCCTCCCCAGCGCCCAACCACAGAGGGCGCAGAGCCGCTGCGCTGCCGGAAGGGGCCGCTGTTCGCTCAGACCAGCAGCCTCGCCGCTGCCGGCACCTCCCACGTCCCTGCTGGCCCAGCGCCGTCAAGTTCTAACAGCCCCCAGTCGAGTGAGCGCCTGGAACGATCACCGCCTGGGTAGCAGCAGACGGCGCAGACGAGCCAGGCTGCGTCGAGAGTCTGAAAAGCTCCTGGGAAACTCCCACAGCGCAGAGACTTCGGAAAGGAGAGAGCTAGCAGTCCCTGCGCTCGCAAGTCTGCAAGTGAGTGCGTATCCTGGCACCTGTTCCTCTCGCGCCACCGCCTTCCCATCCCTCGGACCCGCGCCTCCCCGGTGCCCGCCCTGCTCCGGGGATGAATCCCGAGCTGGGTAACCAGACGGATGTGGCCGGCCTGTTCTTGGCCAACAGCAGCGAGGCGCTGGAGCGCGCGGTGCGCTGCTGCACCCAGGCGTCCGTGGTGACCGACGACGGCTTCGCCGAGGGCGGCCCGGACGAGCGCAGCCTGTACATCATGCGCGTGGTGCAGATCGCTGTCATGTGCGTGCTCTCGCTCACCGTGGTCTTTGGCATCTTCTTCCTCGGCTGCAACCTCCTCATTAAGTCCGAGGGCATGATCAACTTCCTGGTGAAAGACCGGAGACCGTCTAAGGAGGTGGAAGCGGTGGTCGTGGGGCCCTACTGACCGGCCCTCAGGCCCCCCGCGGCGGCTGCCTCACACCTCCCCACTTCGCCAGCTCGGCCGCGCCCCTCACCATCGAGACTGGGCGAAGCAAACCTGTCGGAGTCAATGATTTCTCTCGACTTTTGCCTTTCGGGACGAAGCGACCTGTTTCTCACACGCTCTTTGAAAGTCCCCATGTCTGGACTAGGAGGAGAGCGCCCTGACTCTGGACTCAGCCGCAACTGGCAAGAAGAGGGCGGTTAGGGCGCAAACTTTGGAAGCTGCAGCTAGCTTGGGATGCGGGGAAACCGACGGAGCAAAGGCCCTTCTCCACCTGCAGGTGGGCCAAGCTCTCGGGGTAGGTGGAGAGGGTGGGCAGGGGAAGAGACCCAGAGGCACCGAATGCCCAGGCGGCCTGAAAAGTGATCCATGTATATGTCGCGTAATGAAACTCATGGGGACACAAATCCGTGTCCGGATTCACACCCATTCTCTCCCTCTCCTCCAGCCCTGGCGGGAGAGGCAATAAATACCTTTGATTGATTACAAATTGCCGTTTTAAGGGATTTTTGTGTTTGCTTGAATATAAATACTTGATATGCCCTTTTCTGCCCTAGTGGCCTGTTTGCCTGCCTGGGAGTTAGAGTTTTGTCAATGTGGGGAAAGGGGTGGGGGAGGGGAAGCCTGAGAATGTGAACCGGGTGAGTTGTGTGTTTTTGGTTTTGTTTTGTTTTATTTTGTTTTTTGCATTCACAACTGGGCCTTTTGGGAGGGGGCCGGGGCTGGTGCCCCAGCTGGCCCGGGCAAAGACTCTGATAGAACTTGTCTGTAGCTCGTGACTGCACGATTTACGCCACAAAAGTGCTCTTGATATTCGTGATACCGTTTTGACTTTCCCTCCTCCCCATTGTTTAACATTTCCTTAATAAATGCAACATTTAAATGTTTCGTTCCTGGCCTCCTGGTGGTCATTCTGCGCTCCCGGCAGAAGGGAATGGGCGTCGGCGCGCGCGAGGAGTCGGGTTGCTGGCCCAGGGAATTCGCTTTGGAGAGCTGTGATTCCATTCGTGGATCCTACGAAGGGACGGTGTGGGGACGAGACAGAGAGTCCTAGAGGCCGGTGAGACATGGCCAGGCCTTAGGCACAGGAGACGCCTGGAGGCAGAATCCTTTGTTTTATTGTGCAGTTAATATTTTATATTTCATTTAGGCTCAGCTTTCCAGCCAGACGAGAAAACCCGAGGTCCCAGTGGAAACATTACACTCCCCTCCAGGTCTCCGGTGGGAACACAGGGTTATGCCGCTAATGAAAGGAAGAAAGAGCTTGGCCAGCCTTCTGGGAGGGCGTTTTTGCCCTCACCGACGTCAGCAAGACGGCGTTGGGATGCTGCTCAAATATATATACATATGATAAAATAAAATTTAAAAAAGTATAATAAATAAAAATTATTTAAATGCGAGGAAATGTAGCTGCTAAAAAGTACATAGTGATGCTAATTCTCCCTGGGGCAAACCATGAAAGCATGGGATGCATTATCTTTGCCATATTACTTTTTCTAGCAAAAGGGTGAGATTCAAAAGGGCCTGCTTGTTCTTGAATTGTCAGACCCAGCCCCGGCAGAAAGGTTCAGAGGAGTTAAATGAAACTCTGAATCTCAGAGAGGAAGATTACTACCTAAAACGAGAAGATTGGGCCAGAGTAGAGCTACAGATGGTCGTGGGCACAGTTAGGGCTCAGAAACTGAACAGTGTTGGAAAATAAAGAAAACTGAGAATGTGAAAATAACCCAAAGGATACAATAACTTCGAGCTTGAACTTGACAAGAGGTTTTGAGCAGTTTGTTTTTATGCCTTGGTTAAGATCTTAAATATTTTCAAGAATATAAAGGATCCTCTGCTATGCTATAGCAATTAAAGACTTCACAGTAGCAGATTCAAGACTGAAAAATTGAACAATAAAATGTTCCATTTATTTGGGAAGAAGCACAACTTGTGTAAACAAAGCCAGTGACTCAAAGAATTGAGATCAAAGTGTTTGAGTACCCTTAACATCCTGCCCACTATTGTCTATTTCATTCCCAAAGGAATTAGGAGCTAGGATAATTTTTTGAATGCTAAATAGTATCAGGCATGAAAAGAATTTTGACATTTTGTCTATTCCTGTCTTCAGCAGGTGTTTGCTTGTTTTGAATCTGGGGTAGGGAGCAGGGTCAACATGTAGTCCAAGATGAGTCTCATTGTGGGCAGTTTACTTTGCAGAGGTGCAGGACAGGAAATGTAGACCTCTTGTATTGTCGACAGTTTTTGTGGCACCCAGTTAACCTGCTGCCTCCATGTTTCTCAGGGAGAAACACAGCAAGACCAGTTGGCTCTGGGGCAAACCACACATTTAAATTAAACTCAGGGTTTTTTGGTGGCTGCATTATCTGCTGAGGGCCCCTTCCCCCCCCCCCCCCCCGCACACACAAATTTATTAGTTCACCAGTGAATTTAGTGCTGTGTGGAAATCGTGGGATCAAAAACCAATCAGCGAGAGTTTGTAGGACCCTTGCTTTGGGCTCTGCTATGTGCAACATACATGCTTACAGCAAGTTTCAGACAGAAAGGGTTCACACCTACAGGTCAATGATTACCTGTTTGTAGAAAACAGGTTTCTGTTTAAAGTCGAAGTCGTGAAAGTTGGGAGAGGGTCTGCCCAAGCTCCCTACTCCCCTCCCATATACCACTATTCTCTCCTTCCTTCATCTGACCTCCATCCTTCCTTTAAATACTTCTTCACACCTCTTTCCTCTTCCCTGTACCTCAAAAGCAAAATTCAGTTTATTTTTATCTCAACGCACCAGATTAATTCTCCTACCCCAAGAAATCGTGATTGTCACAAACCAGAACCTGCAACATTTAATCCTTAGCAAAGATATGTGAACAGAGCTCCACAATCCATGATCTATGCATTATAGGAAAATGCACACAGTCTGAAAATATCATAGCCCTAGGGACTATTTCCTGCCAACAACTCTTCTCTACAGCCTCTAGATCCATTTGTTACTTAGAGAGATGCCAAGTGGTTCTGGTTTTTATAGATGAGGCGATGTGTACAAGAAGCTTTTTACACTCCCTGTTCCCTGTGGCCACACAGCAGCTACTTTCTTGGGTCCCACACCACTCCCTGTCTCACTCTGCCTTTGAGTCTCTTTTCCCCTGATTCTAACAAATGCTTTAAATGGAATTTTAAATCCTGCTCAGAGTTTATGGAGCGTCAATCTTTCCCCATAGACGTGTTACAAGGAAAGTGAGTTTTAAAAGTCACTCTCTGGGTTTCACATAAGAAAACAATGTCAGCTTTAAGAGACTGGGGATTGAAAAGAATAGATGCAAACAGGCAGAGTTTTATCATTCCACACGTAAGTCCTCCATTTGGTCAGTAATTAGTGGGAAGCCTTGGCAGAGAGAGATGGCTTCCTGTAAAAGCTTGCTAGATCTGACATGGCCCATGGGGAGGTATCTGATACTTCCTAAAACCCTTCTGGAAAAATACCAGAAGCAGGGAGAGGTTTCCATGAGACATAGCAAGTGGATTAGCAGCAAGTCACTGATAACTCTGACCCTAACTGGGTGGCCTCCACATAAGTAGCTTAGCTAATTGCTGGCAAGTGATATTTTTCTTAAGATTGGTGTTATGAATCTTCCAACTCTAAAAATGTTTCAAGAATTTGAGTGCCGGATACTTTGAAGACTGCTTGAGAGAAGTCAAATCACAAAGGTCGCAGTGCTGTGTTGTTTATGATCACAGTTGCTCCTGTGGATGGTCGCCGTGCCCACTATCTGATTTCCAAGCCTCCCATTGGATCCTGGGTGAGTCGGTTACTGTACCTGCCCACACTAATTCTGAGGGAGGAAAAGGCACACTGGACCATAAGGTAAGAACGTTTGGTTGTGGACCCTAAGTACCTACCTGAGTGGCCTCCTCCCTAAAATGAGGAAGATGGACTCTAAAACATCCCAATTCTAAGATTCGACCGAACTATTTTGTTTAACATTTCCTTGTCTCTTAAGATGTTTTTTAGACCTCTACAGTAGGTAAATTAAATATATATTTTATCATTCCAATCTTGGTCCTCCAGGTAAAAATTCCCGCCCCTAAAAGTCAAGTGCTTCTCTCCTCAGGATACATTATTTACAATAATCAAAGCAAGATTTCAGACACCTAGCCAGGCCTAGGTAAACAGTAGTTTCTAAGCTGACAGATCACACATCATCTAAACAGTGCCTTAAATATCCCAGATCTCTGTGTTCTCACTGGACAAAGCGATGAAAGCGAAGCCCAGTGAACCGGGGAGCAAGTAATCAGCAAGTGATTCCCACAGGTGTACGCACATTCAGACTAATGTACACTGTTGTTTATAGAAACTTCTTGTGTATTTGAAGACTAAGTCACAGCCAATTTTTCTCCCCTAAAGCATTTTCCCCTTTGAGTTTCTGCAACAGCACACAGCAGCTGTTCTGCATGCAGTTAGCCCTGGCTTATTATACTTGTCAGTTTGGGGAGAGGGGGTTGCAATGCCAGAAAAGGATTTCAGGGTTCAGTTTGTTCTTTAAGACTCAAATCTGATTTGAAAGCCCGTTGAAGCAGTAAGTCTACAACAATCTCCCAAACAGGAATCAATAAATCTTTTATCTACCTGCCAAACACCATTTAGATATGTGCACAGTAGCTAAAATGGGACATGTTAACTGCAGCTCCACCAGTAGTAATTGTTTCCTAATGTCTGAGTTTAAATGCTCAATGGTTAAATGCTTCCACGGCCAACCTCACTCTGTCCTTCTCTCCAGATATTTTTGTATTGATTTAAACACTTAATGTGTTTGAAAGTCCAGGATTAATTTTATAGCATCTGCTTAGATTTTAAATTTTTGGAAAGTGTAGGTTAAGGGAAAAAAATAAAGCATCTAATATTATCAGTAAGTCATAGGTCATTTATTTTATTTTTTTAAGAGAAACTGAAGTATACATCTTTTTTTTTAAAGATTTTATTTATTTATTTTTAGAGAGGGAAGGGAGGGGGGAGAGAGAGAGAAAGAGAGAGAGAGAGAGAGAGAGAGAGAGAAACATCAACGTCCGGTTGCTGGGGGCCGTGGCCTGCAACCCAGGCATGTGCCCTGACTGGGAATTGAACCTGCGATATGTTGGTTCGCAGCCTGTGCTCAATCCACTGAGCTATGCCAGCCAGGGCAAGTCATAGGTCATTTTACAGTGAAAATAAAAGTCTGGAGATATTACTTAATTTGAGAAATTCAAACTATTTCAGAAGTACTTCTACAAGACTATTGTAAAGATAACTAGATGCATTTAAAAATGCTCCTTAGTGAGCTTACAAACAGTGGCTTATTTTTTACCCAAATAACAATACATGCTAAGTGACAATAAAGAAGGCATATTTTCATTTACTTGAATATTCACATATATGTTGAAAGGGTGATAGGTAAATAGTTTCCTTCTCTAAAAATATGTAACTGCTTGCTTGCTGAAATAGTTTTGAGTGGGTAAATGCAGGCACAGAGTGATCAATACATAAAAAGCAAAGCCATCTGTGATAATGCTGTAACAAAACTCTGCCCAGCCCCCATTTTAAAACTGCTTTCCATTAGATAATAATATTTCCTGAACTCAATTCAAACAGATAGTGCTTGCCAAGTACCCATGTGTACAAGATACGTTAGAATGTGTTACTGAAAAATTGAGGTGATTCCTATTCATTTGCACCATAAATACAGGCACAGATAAACACACATAATGAAGGCATATGATCTACTTACATGAATCAAATAAAAATTGTTCCATAATTTTTATGGCATTCGTAGTGATATAAGTATACATACATAATTATGCTATAG